TGCGAGTTTTCTGGAAGAACAGTAAAAGGCCATGGTTTCAGTGTGTGGGTACAGTAGGTGTTGGTCTATTTTCAAAGATGCTATTTTCAGTATCTGCAAGCTGAATCACAGAGGCACAATGAAAAATCATCCTGTTATGTCACCAAGTCCACACATCGTGAGTGAATAACTTCACAGCAGGAGGGAGTTTTTACTTTAAAGAGCGGCTCTGTGAAAAAAGAATTCAATGAATCATGCAAAGACACACAGGAACAGACTGATTCAAACACCTAGGACAGTGCAGTTCTATTTTTTTCATCTTGTGCGGTCATTTTTAAAGTCATAAGAAGTTTATTAGATGATTCCAGGAGAAATTTCATTTCAAAAGAATGCATGTTTCACTGTGCAAATCAAAGCCCATTTCTTATTGGTGTAATTCAAAAGAAAGATGACGAAGACATTAGCATTAAACTGGATGTGAAAATGTTTCACTTCATACCAGATATGGAGCAGAATGTATCTCAGAGTGATTACTGTTGAGGGAGGAATGTGTTTGGTTTTCTCAAAGTATGAAACCAGAGCTGATACTAAAGCTGTTCTCTGGATGTTTGAACAGCATCGAACTAGGTCACTTGTGGTCTGGACTGCCGAGGGTACGTTATTCTGTCATAAGAGTGCGCAGTTTGACGGGGCAGAAAACAGAATGGTGCTTTGGTGCAGAATTTGAAAACCAACCAGAGAAGAGTCTCTCAACAGCAGTAAGATTATATGAGTCATCTGTTTAGGTGTAAACATACTTTAGCTCAGTATTTAACATTTTTATGATATTCCATATTACTGGATTACACAAATAGGTGCTCTCACATTTTACAACGCTCCTGCTGTGTCACCGTGCAACATATAATCAACTAACTTGTTTATGAAAACTGAATAATACACAGTGTTGGGTTGTTTTTTTCCAGCAGAAATAATTTTCCAAGTTAGTCACTGAATGGTGAAAGAAAAAATTTCCAACCACAGAAATTCAAACTGACTTATCAAAACTTCCAAACCCACAAAAAGCAACACACAGCATGAAGATCTCTTGAAATAATAAAAGATACTGCCACAAAAACAAAACAGTGCTGAAACTGAATGAATACATGGCATAGTATGTGGCCGGACACAGCCTGAGATATTGGGTAGAATATAGGTCTAATTTCTACACACCAAAGTGCAAAGCGGACACATCCACACATTTTATTTAGACTTCATCTTTGTTATCAATGGATACCATCAACAGTTTTTGTGTGACAACCAGTTAATTTCTCAAGATTTCAAGAAAACTACTAAAATGGGAAAACCATGATGCATCAATTGAGAAAATCAGGCTGATGCCGATGTCGAAGTTCGAAAAAAACGATTTAACCGATTGCCGATTCCATTACAGATGTTTGTTTCATGACTTCTTTTGGTGTAAGACTGTCACCATTTTTCCCCCTATTTGACAATGAAAACAAGTCAGTGTATTCAAGATGTGATTTCATCAGCCCAGTGAAAAAACCTCTTCTCTGAATTAGTAGGTAGGTGTACTACATGCCAGCATTAAATTGATTTAGCACAACAAATAAACATAAACACGAGATCTTGGGGAAACAAACGAAATGTACTTGTGATCATGGAAAATAATTTGTGTGTCTCTTACACAAGAGCATTCTAAAGGGTTTGTAGTCTTGTAAAGGCCCTTAGACACCAAGTAGACAGCAAAGAACTAGTAGTGACAAAGGCTGCCTGTGGCATCGCCTCACATCTTGGCCAAAAAGTTGCATTAGAACACACCGCAAAGACTACAGCCGACGGCCAACCACCACGTACGTTCTGCGCATGAGTGAGGGGGCAGCAGTAGCACGTTGTTATGATATGAGAAGACCATTTTCACACCACTGTCGCGCACCACTCGTATTATAGGAAGCCTACTAACCGAGAATAATGTCTGATAAAAAGTTGAAAATGGCACTGGCGTTGTCAGCCCTCTGTCTTTTAGTGGAAAACGAAAAGAAGAGGGGGAGGCGACAAATAAGAAGAAATCGCACTAATGGGTGAAAGCATGGATACTACAGCGCCGTCCTCAAGTGGCTTTCCTGAACCTGTGACGAGATGTTAGTACGTATTTTCATGGATTCATTCATCTTGATAATTTTGTGGACATATCTTTAAATTGTGTCAACCATCTCACAGTAATTCTACTTTTGGGTCTGTGAAGCTGTAACCTTATATGGGTGAAGCACCTAAGTAGTAGCAGATCTATAAATGGATAGGAGCCAACTATATGTTGTCAGCAACTGTTTGCTAGACAGAGAGTCTACATCTGTTACGTATACAAATCAGTGACATGTCATCTTTATTGTTTTATAGTGATGTACCCAAATGGAAAGGAATTTGTGGGCTGTACCTTCTAGCAGAATATAAGCAACACTGTGTGATTAAGACTTTGCCACTTGGACACTTGGCCATTTTGCCATTTTGCCCATGATGGCCACTTTGTCAATGATTGTCAATGATTGTGAGATCTTGGTCAGCATGGGTCAGCGATGGTCTGCACTTTGTCAGCCATGTGTGTTGTGTTTCTGTGTTGTCTGACCATGGCTGAATAAATCTAAGATGATCCACAGTCTGTTTCACCATTTCATCATTGTCCATCTCATACAGAAATAACCCCCACCTAACACGAGAGCTGGAGAGAAATGACGACTCCGAACAGCCAATCAGAGAGATTCAACATGTCGAATCGGCCAAAAAAAGGTCAACGGGGGCGGGTTGGTAGTGAGTTTAACAAGCAAACAGCTTATCAAAAAAAGATCAGAGCATTACATTCTATAGATTTATCATTAACACTTGGGTTCCAATTTGTTAATGTTACATACCAAAATATGAGTTTCATATCACCTTATGTACTATTTAGAAAATACCATGGAGAAAAGAGGCACCATATGACTGAGCTGAGATCCTGCCCAGTTTCCTGACCTCACCTTAGCTCATCCATATGAGGACCTAAGAGCTGCGTGTTGACAGTGTGGGTTTAAACAAGGACATAGTGTATCATCATGGAGAAGGAGCAGGATGAGAGAGACAGTAAAAGAAGGACGGAGCAGATGGCCGCGCACATAAGGACAACAGGGCAGCAAATCTTCAGTGGCTTGGCCCGCTGGTTAAATAATAACTAAATGAGTCTTGTGGCCTTCCTGAACCTGCTGAAGGACCAGTCAGAGCGTTTCACCTTTTATGATGCTGCGTGTACCAGTCTGTTATCTATCAGACTGATGGCGTCAGTCACTGGGGGGCAGCTGTGGCTTAGTTGGTAGAGTCATCGCCTCTCAACCGGAAGGTCAAGGATTCAATCCCCAGCTGGGCAACATGTCCGATGTGTCCTTGGGCAAGACACTTAACCCCAAGTTGCTCCCGCTGCCTCAGTAGTGGGATTAGTTACTTCTGATGATACTACATAACGATCACTACCATCAGTGTGTTAAAGGGTGTAAATGGGTGGGTGTGACCTGCAGTGTAAAAGCACCTTGAGTAGTCGGAAGACTAGAAAAGCACTATATATATGGTCCATCTGTGTTTGCCTTCCTATAACTATCATTTTAGAAAATACTTTGTGACAGGGATGTGATTTATCAGTCTTGTTTTTCTGAAACAAACATAAATAAGTTATTGAAATGTCCATCAAATGCTATCTTTATCAAAAGAAATCTCCTGAAAGTAGGCGCTATAGTTGTTGTGTTATGAGCTAATGGTAAAGTTAGCATGCTGATTTTAAATGCTCACAATGACTGTCACAATGCCATGTTCACCTGCTAGAGTAGCTTGCATGATAGCCGCAACTGTTTCTAGTCAGTATAAATCACAAAGCTACAGCGGAGACTCGCGATAAGGTCTGTAGCTTTGAGAGAATTCAGGTCTGAATCTGAATACAAACTTTTAGATTACTACCTTTTTTGACCTGATGATGGCGGCAGACGTAAATTTAAAGGTTCACAAAAGGTATTATGGTTAATCCTCAGGGAGACATGAATCGTATGGCCCTTCATTAGTAAAAATTATTAAGCATTTCACTCAAAGCCACAAACGTAAATCTCATGTAGACATAACAGGAACATTTAGGGAAAACAGGAGTATGTAGTCAGGAGTAGTGTTGTAGTCAAGACCACCCCAACCGAGACCAAGACACACCCAAGACCAGAGTGCTTTGAGACCGAGACAAGACCAAGACATTTAGGGATTGAGACTGAGTCAAGACCAAGACCATACATATCACTGAAGGATCAACATCTTGTGTGCAGGGGGCATCCATCACCATAACACTGGGAAGGTTGCAGATGTAACCGGGGGAATAAAATCTAAATACAAGTTATTTGTTCTTTTAGAAAGGGGCGTTTACCTTCTAATCACAGTAATGACGTGGAAAAATAGTCCGCCAGTGGTGATCTTCACTGGTCTTGATTTAAAATCTGGAGTCCGCCCAGTCTAAGACTGATACATATCGAGTAAAAATGCTTTCGATTCTGAGATGAAGACCTTCAAAAAGTGGTCTCAAGACTGATTTGGAGTACCACAACACTAGTCAGGAGTATTCATCCTCTTAGGATAATGAATGATTGGTGTTATTCTCCCTATAGAGACAACCAAAATGTGATATATTGCAATTTAAACAAGAGCCTACACCATTCAAAAAGGGTGTAGCAGAAGTGTGTGCCCTTGTTTCTGTAGGAGCATCTTCCCTGCACCAGGCTGTCCTGTCATGCCTGTTTCCTGTCCACATGGTGAGGGGTTGATGCCCAGACATCTGCTCCTTTGGAAAGACACGGAAAACACTCGCACAGTTAATCTCTGCTGCAGCTCTACAAATCAAACACTGCCAGACCCGATTTTGCTCAATTAAAAAAACTAATATCTATGGACTACAAATTCCAAAACTATGTTTGAAAATAAATAAAATAGATTAAACAGCACGACAGAACGTGAAGAAGTAGAGGCTTTATTGGGCACTTTGTGCATCAAATCCTTTACAAAAAGAAAACATTCATTAAAAACATGTTCATAAATCCCTTGACATTTAATGTTAGAATGACTTCTCATAAAATAAAAAACATTATATTAATAAGAATAAAAGAAATATTGATATATATGATAAAAAACCAGACAGTGACCCACATCCATTTGTCTTAATAAATATATACACATTAAGTACTGAGATACAAAAGAAGGGATCACATCGATCCTTTTCGTCAGCAGATATTTACAAAAATATGTCCATTCAAAATTATCGTTCAAATGTATTGTACACTTAAAATATGGCAATAAAGGAGATTTTTTTTTCCTGAACTTTACTATCATATTGCACTTCCAGAGCAGCTCGTGTTGACAGCACTAAACTTTTATTGACCTTTTTCATCAACATCCAGACATCTATTCTACAGTGAGGGGGAGCTGTGTTTTCAGCGTTATTATCCATATATTTATTAACTTCATAATACTTACAAAGAGGCCCTAATTTAAATTGATCAGAGAATAAACATCATTACACTTACAAAAACATGTACCGTATGCTAAAAAATACAACAGTTTCATTATTTATGGCTAACTGTATGAAGGCTAAAGAAAGTGTGACACACTAAATACTGCCATGTTGTTTGGTATTAATACACTGAAGCACTGAGGCTCCATCAACAATAAGCTGTCTTCAGTTTGTGCACTTAATACCCAACTTTACAGATTTTATTCATCAGTGCTATGGCTTTATGTAGGGAAAGACAAGCCCATTCCCCTTACAGAGATTTTCTTAAAAAGAGAAACACTGCTGCTTGCAAAGCTTGAGGTATAGCAGCACACATGTGCTCTGCACAAAAATGTACCAAAGTAGGCACTTACATCTGAGGTGCAAGATGGTTTCAAAATGAATCAAATTGTATGTCTTGCATCCTGTATCTAATCAACATTTAGGATAATTTAAGAGCTATGGCTTTTTAAATTCCTCTTGTGGGACTTTGTGTTGTATCATTAGTTTGACATATAAAAAAGGTACAAACACAACATGATTTGAGTTTAACTGCACAGCTAGACGTGTAAACCACTACTCTTTTTTTATCCGTCCTCCATCCCTCTGCTCCGGGGTGATGTCATCTCCTCCTGTCCAATCAGATTTCTGTGAGGGTGAGTTTGTACATGCCACCCTGCTCCTCCATGGTAATCTGGAAGGTGTCTTCGTTGGAGTAGTGTTTGATGATGTTGTCGTCCATGTGGACCAGAATCCTGTTGTAAAAAATGATCTGTGTAAGTGACTTTTTATTGAAGCCCATCGAAAAATTTAAGATTAAAAAAATACTTAATTCCTGAGTCATTCAGATATGTTTAGTTAGAACACACACAGGACAGATTGTGTAACAGGTGGGTAAATATATTCACATTTTTGGCACAAGGTTAGCCTTATTTAGCATAAAAAGATAAGGACAGGGGCACTGATGGCCTAGTGGTTAGGTCGTGCCCCATATAGGGAGAATATAATTCTCCAGGCTAGCGGCTCGGATCAAGTCCGAGTAGCAGGTCCTTTCCTGCACATTAATACTTAATAAGTGTTAATAAGCACTTGGTGCAGCTCATTAACTCGACTGTTGATGCTCCATAACTACCATAACTTACCTTTGTGCTTGGTCTGTTTTTCTATCCACTGTCCTCTTAAAAAAAGTTAATATCCCTAAATAAATCTTTGGAAATTATTTATTTATAGGCCTTTTTCCCTTATTAGATAGGACATCCATAGAGATACAGGAAAGGTTATTAAGAGAGACGGGGACGACATGCAGCAAAGAGCCGAGGTTGGATTTGAACCCATGACCGCTTGCAACGAGGACTATGGCCTCTGCGCATGGGGCTCGTGACATAACAAAGAGGGGGCAACCAGTATGAGAGAGTGGAGAAGGACATGTGGTAAAATCTGAGGGTCAGTATAGCATGGCCCAACCACTTCAAGGACTCTTGTCTCTGCACAGCAGTTTAACCTCTAAGGCTATCTGGAGGCCGTGCAAAATTATTTATTATCAATAAACTAATTATGGTGATGTCAATCAAAGATAAACGACTCTTTTCCTACAGCTCATGATTTGGCTACTGAGGATAACAGAAGCAACTATTTGGGTCCCTTGTTTCCATTTAGTTACCAATATCTGAAGTAATATCTTTGAAAAACATGTTAGAAGATTTGAAGCGGGCGAATGTTTCTGTGGGTAATTACTGTGAAGGAGGGCTGTCTGAGGTGACCTGAAGTAGTGTAGGAGTGTTTTACTGACTCACCCTTTCTTGCACTTCTTGTAGACTTTTCCAACCTTGTCCAAAGGTAATTCATACTTCTCTGCAATCTGGTGGAGAAAAAAAAACAAAATGAAAAATTGTTTATAGTTAAAACATACATAAAATCATAAATAACAAACAATAAGTCATACTGCATCCCTCCAGTCAATTAGCCCTATCGGCCCCCCTTTTTTTTACTTTATTATTCCCCTCTGACCCTTTTCCCCCCCCAGTCCAATTTTTGATCTTACTTCCCCTCCGTATCATTCCTACATTTTATTTCTGGAACACAGAAAACCCTAGCTCTAAAGCTGCAGTGTGGACAGCTGAGCGACCAATATGGAACAGAAAATGTACTGTACAAGTTGTAATTAAGCGAGGACAACTTACAGCTTCCACCAGGCCTTTCAGCGTGGGATTCTTCAGCATGAGTGCATCGAACACCTCCTCCGTCTCTTTGCGCACGTACAAAAGGACTGTGTGGTGAAAAAAATAAAATAAAGAAGACAAGACAGCGTCAAAGCAGAGCATGTATGTTCATGGATAAGACCCAAAAAAAAACAACAACCCTAATCTGGCCTCAGAAAAAAGCCACTGGCAGGCGTTAAGCGTGTATTTGCGTCAAACTGGTTTTTGGTCATCTGTGTGGGTTTAAGGATTGGAGGCTTCACTTTGTTTCCATTCTGGATTTTAAAGTGGCAAAGCTCCAACACATACTAACACATGTATCTTTAATCCATCAGTAAATTTGTAGGTATGATATGCAACAATGCACACCACTTAAAATTCCCCCTAGAGGACTGAATGGGCATTCATCCAGGGCCAAATGAGTGGCACTGCTACAAAACAAAGCACACCTAGAAAGCACACACGTCGTACATGGTAGTAAAGACAGAGACATGCACATACAGAAGGACAGGCACACCTCTCATTCACAACACTTAAATAGACTATGCTCTAAATAGATTCTGTTGTTTTCCAACCTGCTGCAAGAACTTGTGATATTCCGGGCCTCTAAATATAACGAATACTGTTTCTACACATCTAAGTGTCTTTTTAAAGACGTATTTACGTGCACAGGAGATTCCACTAGTCTGAATGACATCTGTTTATGGAGCAAAACTAAATGAGAAAGAACTGAAACAGTGTAGTGACTTTGTGTGGTTTCATAATGCTGCTGCAGATATAGGCCACATTTTTGCTTTGCTCATTGTGTTGTTGAGCTGCAATGGAAGACTATGTTTAAGGCGGACGTCATTCAAAGGAGGCTGATCGATGCATGATTGGCAATTCTCTCCTTCAACAAGATGTCAGCGTGATTCCATCCTAACCGTCAACCTAAGGGCTCATTTTCTAAATGGAAAATCACGTCAGCTGTGGTGGAAAGATTATACAACTTCACCTTAGCTGATTTCAGTTGACCAATAGGGCCAAACTTTGTTTTGCTGAATCATGCTTCGTTTCAGATTCAGAATTTGATATTTCACCTTTATTGTTGTTGCTTGTGACCCCTCAAAATAGAAGGCTTTGACATGTGTTGTGAGCAGTTAAAGGACTGAATAAGCTAGGCCTAATGAGCTGTACAAAAACAAAATGTATAGCAGATCCGTTTTGTTCCTTATAACAGGTGTGTTCCATGACCCTTTGATTTTTTCTTACAAGCTATTGAATCCTTGCTGTGTTTCACTGATTGGTTCAGCGTACATACAATCAGGTTCAATTGGTTTTCTACGGATTGGTTTTCAGACTAAAAACCTGCAGGAAAAATGTTATCTTGCAAGATCTGGATTGACTCTTCGACAATACAGAATATATGCACGTGTATTCATGCAGATTCCGTGTGAGACGGGCTTTTTAAAAGATCAAGGTAAGGCACATGTGTCTAAAACCTCCATTTCAAGCTATAACACACCTTAAAGCTTCTCTTCACATAGTTTAGTTTTTCAAAAAACGCTTGTTGAATGTCTGGACAAGAGTGTAGGGTAAAGGGCAAAGTCTTGTTTGCATGTGTGCACGTCGCGATCAGTGGTATTTTGTTGGGTCAGTCAAGGCCTTTGGCACGTGTATGTGTTTTGAAAGAACTGGAATGATCACATGGCCCAGAGAGTGTGTGTGTGTGTGTGTGTGTGTGTGTGTGTGTGTGTGTGCCAGTTGTCCTCAGGGGGTGGGGGGATCACAGCAAACACACACACATGCGTGAGCTCACCCTTTAACATGCTGACCCCTGACTGATCAGCTCATGAACAGTCTAATTAATGCACTACAAGAAGAACAACAACAACAACAACACACACTCAAAAACACAGACACACATGTTTTACCTTTCTTTGGTTCCTCCGCTCTTGCCATCTTGTTAGGGGGCGAACCAAACTCTTCCTCACTGAAGGGTAATCTCTTCATGCCCGAGCTGTAACACAAACACAAATCATTGCTTGAATGGCGTGAGCAACCAGCTAACAGGCCATAAAAAATAGCCAGAGCACACACACATTCACATACACATACACATATAGGCCCCAGCCATTTCCTAGAAACATATGCATCTCTTTATGCCTTTTACTGGGAAGGACCTAAAGGTTGTCTCGGTTCAAAGCTATCAGTCTGAAAGGAGCAAGTGTAAAATCAGGACTTCCATGAACTCACCTGTCCTCTCCATCTTCTGTCGAGTAAGCCTGCAAGAGAAACAGAAAGGAGAAATGAACTTTTATTGCAGAGAAAAGTTTAAACAACCAATTTTAGATCAAGTCAGAGGTAAGATCTGCAAGCAATTTCATGGCAAATAACCAAGATTAAAATGCACTTGATTTGAATGTAAAGTTTGCCATGAAAATACAAAAGTTAGACATGTTTGACTTTGTAAATAATGCAGGTCGAAGTTTGCATGTTTGCAGCCAAATTTGCAAATCAGGTCACAGAAAAAGTCAACAACTACACCAAAAGGTTTTTCATGTTGACATATTTTTCCTCTCTTTCTTTTAACTCTGCAGCTTTGTAAATTAGATTTATTACAACACCCTTGGTTTACACAAGGCAGAGCAGCTTTATTTCTAATGCTGTCCTCAAACACAGAGTCAAAGTGTTGCACATGATGTGAAGAAAGAAAAAAAAAAAACAGCATTAAAAAATCAATAAAAAAGTCCCCTTTGGCAAAATCATTCTGTTTAATAATGAACGAGATAAATCAAACTCATGTTTACATTATTTGATTATTTGATCTTGCTGCCCTGGGACTATATTGATTGCTGTTGTTGCTGTAAATAGAAGTCTATTCTGAGAGGGAACCAAGAAGACCGAGAGTTTATCAGAAACTGATAGCGGCTCCGCCAGGTTCAATGTCATCGGGAACACCAAAAATAACCTCCTGTCCCTCCCTCCGCCTTTCTGAGCACAAAGTAAACTTACTCAAAGCGAGAGATAGGGAGATAAGATACTTTTTATTGCAGGGACTTTTCATAATATCACCAGCAGGGGGAGCTAAAGGTTCAAAAGTACACACATTTCTGAATGGATAGAAAAATCCCATGCGCTATAAATAAAACCTCTCATGGATCCATTCATAGAAAACATGAAAAATGCCTGAAATTCCTCAAAATACAAATGCTGCATGTGAGAACACATGTACGCACAACCCTGTAAGTGTAATGTGATGTGTTTGTACTAATTTGAGAAAGCTCAGAGTCCAGTAACACAGAGGTAGGCTTCAGCACTGATAAAACATATAAAACCTGACAAATTAAAAAAGTTCCAGCATCTGTACATTAGCAAATCTGCAGTCATCTAATCTCAAAATCTACCCGTTATTTAATACGGACACATTCATATAATATTGTCTAATCTACCACTTTCAGTCGCTGGTAAATGATTCATCCTGTGAGTAAACAGTCTGAAATAGAGCCATGAGTATGTAGGACTCGTATCAGAGCAGGAAACCAGAACTGACTGTTCCTGCCAATGTGCAAGCACACGGGTCACCTCGACCCAGCTGGCTGATGAGTAATGGAATCAGAAAAATTAAATTGGTTTATTGGCCAACTAAGATGCCAAGGCGTAGCATGATAAATGTTCATGGTCAAAATGACACAAGAGATTAAATACTGGACTAGTGTTGTTAAGAGTTGTATGTCAACACTCACATGGCGCTGGAAGGTAGAAAAGTGAATGTCAGGAATGAAAAGGACCGGCTGGGTCTCAAAGTCAGTCATCATCTTGAAGATGGTCACGTCATTGCGCTTCTGCAGGAGGGGCACTTTGACATCTACAACTGAGAGGAAAAAAAAAAAAAGAACAGAACAGAACAGAAGCAATTTAATTACACAGTCATCTGAAGTCTGCATTGTTAGATCTTTAGGGGCTATTTAGGGCAGTGCAACAGGCTATAATAATAACATAATGTTGCCACAGCAAACCTGTTAGCAAAAAAAAACAAAAACACTGAATGACATGAGCAGTTATCAAGAGTCATGTTTAGGCACCATGGTATATATAACTACAATATTTTCTCTATTTGTGTTTTGTTTCCAGCAACTCTTCTGGGAAATATCTGTCCCATTAGCTGCTAAATGCTACATCTTTCCCACTAGCTAGTTGCTCATTTTTTTGTCCCCAGCTTGTTGACGCAGCTAGCTTACAGCTGGTCTATCAGCTTTATTTTTTGGAGAAAACATTCATTACTGTGCCTTGTAAAAGGTTGAGGTTAAAAAGTGTGATGAGGTTGAAACAAAATGGTCAAGTTGTGGATAAAATAGAAGCAAAACAATTAGCCTCAACTAGAAGCAAGAGCAAGCTAAAACTGGACTCAAAGGACATCCACTTTCACGCTAGACAGATGAATAACGTATTATAAGTGCAGCCTTAAGCCATAAATATGATCTTAGACTCTGATAGAAGTTATCGGAGGCAAGAAAGAGTTGGGGTTTTTAGTGCGGCTATGTCCAAACTTCTGATATTAGCTCCTTTTTGTAATTTTCTGATGACGTGTACCGGTTTTGAAAAAGGGTGTAAAATACATCTCTATAATTTTATAATGCACCCATATATGAAAAGACTAACAGGGGCTTGTCTGTGTTGGTGTTTCCATCCAAGCAGGATTGTTCTGGAATTTATTCTGGAAGTCCTATAGGCCTATTAGTTGTGTTTTGTTGTATGTTATTGGTAGAAATGCAAGCTTTTATTGAGCAGGTAAATGATTTGTTCTCATATTGATAACATATATTTAATTGATTACAAGCTTGCTTCGCGACAGATATTTTGTCCTCAAATATCGTACAGTGTTCCAAAGAACTGATATAATAATGCATCATGCAGAACCATGGGATTTATACCCCTACAAAACATGAATGCACATAAACTCTTGGATTTGATTGACTCACAGGCCAGACCAGGATTCAGCTCAGCAACCTTGCCTTTCCTGCGGGACTGCTTCCTCTCCTCATCCCTGATCTTCCTCTCGGCCCCCTTGTCACAGAAGACTTTGATCTGGCAGTAGGCGCGGTGGATGGGCTTGTTGCTGCGGTTGTTGTAGCTGTAGGTGTCGATCTGCAGGTTCAGAGGAAGACCCTTCACTCCTTTCTGTGAGGAGAAGTCCGTGCTCAGACAGTTGACAGAGATGAAGATCTGCAGAGAGAAAAGAAGGAGGGAAGATGAGATTAAGAGAAAACAAAAGACCTGTACAAAGCTGGAGAAATTATATATAAATATAAAGCATCTAATAGTTTGTTGATGAAAGACAAACTAAACAATAGTGTTAACTGAACACTTGCTGTCTGCCTCTAAATCATACATTTTTTACATCAGTATCTTTTTGACTCACTGATGGCTTTTCTGCAGCCTTACAGTTTGCTCGGGCTGTATTAAATCTTCTGTGCTTCCCTCTACTGGTAGACTTCAATAATTACTGTCTCCTATTTATTCTAATGTGGAAATGCTCCCTTTTCTTCCAGCTTCTTGTGTTTCTGAAGTGTTCTGTACGGCCCTCTATTGGTAGACTTCAGTAATCACAGGCTCATATTGATTCTTAAGTGGTGATGCTCCTTTTTCCTCCCACTGCTCGTGTTGAAAACGTTGTCATTGTGACAACAAAAAAAAAACACTTTCAAACAACTATATAAAAGGGAAAATGGAAGGGATAAGCAGCATATATCATTGAGGTCATTTTTAACATTAAAAGACAAATAAAAAAAATATCTGTGTGAATGTATTTAAAGCACCATTTCCATTTGATTAAATACAAATGGAAAACAATTGCATGTTAGCCTGATTTCTTACATTTCTATGCTGTTTATGTTTTTAAATGTTTTAAGTTAAATAATATATTTGCAAACTTAAAGCTTTATATGATATCATGCAGAGGGACAAACATGGATAATGTGAAGATAATTACTAGTCGTAACGGCTCTGGTGGAGAGAGCTAAAGTAATTAAAAGTTTGTTGTGGTTTTTTTTTCGGTTTAACAACACAACAAAATTGCCCCAGAGCCAGCAAACAGAAGGTGGGGAATGTTTATAGCAAACACTGCAAAAAAACATATAAGCTGCAATGACCCTGGGGGCAATCCTCCCACAAACACACACGCACACACATTTCTTCAAGAGATTGATGAGATCACTCGTCATGATGAGATAGTCAAACAAAGTGGCAGGGCGGTGCTTCCAAAACACACACACTGAAGTAATGAACACACACACAAGGATGAACATCCTACGGCCTGGAGTCATGAGACAGTTAGACTCAACATCCTGGTCTGTGTGACAGCGGTTAAATCATGTGACTTTATTTATGTTAAGTGTAGCTTATAGAGACCAAAACGCCGTAGAGACGAGCTGTGGAACCATGTTGTGAAGTTATGAGCGGAGGAAAGGACAGGAGTTCCTTTTCTGTGGCACCTCTCCTACCTGTTCAACTGGATTTTATTTCTAAACTGCCCAATCCAGTCATCAAGACTTTCCTCATTCCTGCATTCTTCACTGTTGCTGTTCGTCGTGCAGAAATACTTTAACACGCAGCATCACAATAAGGGGTTACAGGCAGGTTGGCCAAGTCAAGAATGTATATGCACCAAGCAGGAAGCACAAACACAAATGTGTGTGTGTGTGTGTGTGTGTGTGCATGTCTCCATGCAACAAGACTAAACACACAGGAGGTGGTGACAGGGTCCCCAACCTTGTATTTAAGCCGTCATTTTCTTTAACGCCCGTTTTGAAGCAACAAAGTGGCCGATAATCCCTGTCAAAGGAGTGACTACACGTGAAACCTTAATTCTGGAGTGGAAGAAACCACTAAGAACCTCTTTAAAAAAAAGAGTAGCAGTCTATATTTGGTTGGAGAGGTGAGAAGTTCAAGGCCCATGCTTGAAGTTCAAGACAAAGATGTCGTAAGGAAATCTTGGATTGCCAGAAATCCTGTGTGCCTAAACTTATTCTAAGTTGAACACCAGCATTATACTAGTCTTTTTTTTTAATGTGCTAGTCTTTAATCGTCTTACTTTGGCCTCCTCGTTGGTGTCCCAGGTGAAGGAAATGGCATTATAGGAAATCTCCTCGATGTTGCCGATGGTGTTGAAGCTCTCCTTGTAGTCCGCTGTAACAAAAAATAAGAGTCAGATGCCCGTTTTATCTGCAAAGTGACTAAAGCAGACAGTCAAGCAATCACAATAAAATCAACACTTTGGTCTAGAAACGTTTATTTATTATATGACTTGTGGTGTTTTTTTTTTAAGGCTGTAGAATGAATCCCTTAACAAACCCAACCTAACTGGCTCAACCGAACAGCACACCGTTTCCTGTCAGTTACTGCTAAGCTTCAGATCAGTGAGGATTATAAGAGCAGACTTCAGAGAAAACAACTTTGCAATCTATAATACTAATGCTGAATCGTGACAAACCAGCAGTGTGTCAGACTTCACATTTAATGTTTATTTTACCCTTGTTCTCAGGAAGCTTAAATGCAGACTCTTTATTTGTCAACAAGTGAATATTTTAGAACATATTTTTTTATCTGAATAAAAAGACTTCTTACCGATGTCCAGACACCTCTGCTTGGCCGTGTGCTGTCTGGAGTGCCAGTACTTCCAGTGTTTCAGCTGATCGTCTCTGCACTTCTCCTCTCCAAACACCACCATCACTACACTCTGGACATTAAAAATCAACATCAACGAAGACAACGTTGGATGACTGACACAAATCGAATGCTTAATATCATCATAACATCTAAGTTGTGACTTGTTCCAGGTTTATTTCTACGTCTCTTTCTTACCCTGACTTTGGTGATGGGCTGCTGGATGTCTTTGTTGTCGGCCTCTCTGAGTGTGATCGGATAAAACTGGCCCTTGTTGAGGTACGTCATCGTGCCGTCACCTGTCTTCTGACGCAGAGACTTGGATGCCTCCAGTGTGTATTCAAAATTATTCCTAAAACACAAGAGAAATAAACATCGAACTCGCCTCTTGACCATTGTGCCTCCAGAATCCAGGCCGGCTTGTGATGCCTAGGGTCTAAAATTAGTATGAGAGGTAGATCCTTCAATTATAAGACTCCTCTCCTATCAGTGAGGGTCTGGAAAGCACACGCCCTCTTTACTTTTAAGAATACGCTAAAAATGATATGCTCAAGCATAATGTGGCACACTTCGTTTCATGGCTACAAATAGATCTAGACTTAAAATCAGCATGTTGTCAGATAATGCCCATGTATGTAGAGTCTTGTCTTTCACACACACAGGGAAGTCTGACGTCTCCCCTGTGACCACAATGAATGAGGCCATTCTGCAGAGATGTGTCAAAAGCTGAATGGCAGTGGAAGCTAGGCGGTGGGCCGGCAGCAGCGCAACTTACCCCGGCACGTTGTCAAAATGAGGATACTCTTCGGGCGTCAGGGAGGCCATACGTAACTGGAGATCCCCTGGGAAGGAAAACACCTGCAGCACACAAAGGATACAGATAAAGAAAAGACAAGACAACAGATTATTCCTACATTCAACAGGGGAATATGTATATATATATAAATATCTATGTTTATTACTAGGGATTGTCTTTTACCACTTTATACATTTCTGTAGATTTTATTTACATTATTCAGCTTGATCTCAGTTTCTATTATTTAAAAGGCTCTTCCTTCATGTTTCCACCCCCCTCCCCACTCCCTCCTGTACAGGGGTTTTTGTTGGGTTACTCTTTACTGAAGTAAATCCCCTCCAGGTAAAATAGAGAAAGAGCAGAGAGAAAGGGCCTTGGCTATTGTAGGAGAAAAGTACAGCACTTTATTGTGTTGCTGAGACAATAGCATAATAACACACTGGCCGCTATTTTGGCATGTTCAAATAAAACCAGGGGAAGGCTGAGCCCACCACTGGCTCCATGGGATCGGGTGAATATCCTATTGTCTGATGGGAGAGATCTGAGAGAGGAGAGGAGGAAAAAGAAGCAGGAAGGGGGGGTTGCATTGGCGGGAGAGTATTAACAGGGTTTAGAAAGAGGGGGATCGAAACACACACCTCCTGGGAACCGTCCTTATAACTTTCGGAGAAGGTGGAGTCGGGGGGTGTGCGGGACTGGGTGCTGGGACTGAACTGGATGGTGTTGTGGGCCAGCTGACGGTCAAAGACGCCCACGTGGCTGTTGGTTTCGGTGCAATTGTTGGGTATGGTGACTGAGAAGCCATGGCTGGGCACCTCCGTCTTTACAGGTGGGTAGTTTGGCACGGCGGCGATGGAAACTGTGACGGTTGTGTCTGAAAGAGCAAAATCAGCGAACTGACAATCAGATTTTCTGTTTTTTAAGCTGCTCATGTCTCTTTACGTGTCTGAATGTGGACAGACCTGGTGAGGGGAATTGGCTCCTCTTGTCCTGGGCCAGCTGGAGGATATTAAAGGGCCCCTTGAGGACCTGGATCCTGCTCTCCATACCCACCTCCTGGAGGGGAGATATGGGGTGTCCCACCTGGATCTGGTGCCTTCAAAAAGAAAGAAAAGCACATGTAGCCATGCATTAGAAGCTTAAATCAATTCAATACATAGAAATTGATGTTTGATTTGAGTAAAAAGCAACTTATTTTTAACAGCTTTCAAGCTTTATCTGACACTTGTGTTTTTATCAAATATTTGGATCACTTGGTTGTCACTCTTGTGTGTGATCTCAGTGAGATATAGATATATAGATATAGATATTTATAGATTAAATCAAGTCAGCATGACCTTGTGTTATAACTTTAACTCAAGTCAGTTACACTCAGGTGAAAAGCAATGGGTTTTTTTTTTTTTTTTTATCTTGTGGCAGGAACAAGGTACTCCTCCACTAAACATGTGTACACTTTATATAGAGCTCAACAAAAATGTGTTGCACTCAGCTCCATCATTTTATCAAATGATCTCACAAAAAGAAAGTGACAGTCTTGGAATCCCTCCATTCCCTTCACGCTGTGATTCCCGCCTGCTTTATTAAGGGGGGTATTATTATGTGAGTCGCTGTCTCTTACCTTTTGTTTGGATCCACATCACAGACCAGGGTTTCTGGCTTGCTCTGGGCTATTGTTCTTTTCTCCCTGGGCACCTGTATGTGAGGGTAAACACAGCCGCTCAGCATCTGACCACATCACATCCAACAACCCGGGTCATCCTGCTGTCTATACCAGCCATCGGATCAGTTACATGACATACGCTCTGCCTAACAGGTGTTTCTTAATGTCAGTGCTTGGAATGATCATATTGAAGCTCTTGGTGACTTATTCCTTCACATAAATTTCTCGGTTTTTGAGTTATGACGCAAGAGCTCAAACAAGTAGGAGAACGTTTTTCCTGCATCGTTAAAAAAAGTTAGATCTAATGTTATTCTGTTACCTTATAGTAGTCATAGAGCAGGCCAAGAGCTGCTGCACTGTCCTCATCTCCATTGATGCTCATCATGGCCTTGGTGGCTGCTGTCAGGGGGTTCTCCAGGAATGATTTCCAGGCTTCATCTTCTGTGGTAAAGGAGCGACGCTGGCCACCATACCCCGGCTCATTCTGGAGAACCAGGACCGCACGCTTGCTGCGATGAAAAGAAGTTTCGAAGTTCAGTGTTTCATATTCTCTTATAGCGTTTATTCAATGAGACGTCAATGCTGGTTTTTAATGAGAAAGTCTGCAAATAGGATGGCATTTGATACTTTTTACCACTTAGACGACCATGCAAAATGTAGCGTGCGTGGACACTATGCACGTTTGAAAGAGCGGACTCTAGGTGTAATTACTCTGAGATTGATTCTCCTCACTGGCTTCGTACTGAAATCACAGCGTCGTTCAAAACAGACAAACAGGTTATAAGAGGGATGAACCACATAGATGTTCTTTATCTGCGAGACCAGTTGTTCAAGCTTTTCAACGATTGTGCAACAAATCTCAGCCATCGAACCACCGTGGCGTCTCGAGAGAGAAAGATGCTCTACAGGCTCGTCCAGACAGACGACTCCAGTACGGAGCTCTCTGATTGGCTGAGAAGGTGACCGCTAGTGACGCGACTGACCCGGCTGCATTCCTGCAATTATACAGGTACTGTTTTTGTATGGCAGCACGATTGCGGAAAATAAGTTTAAGCAGTTGACCTCCTTTGTACTTTACTTCCTCTTAGGTCTTGTGAGACATTTGCATTTAAAGAGGAGAAACTTGGACCAATAAGAATACATACTGATGTATTCAGTACTAGCTGCTTGTAATGATCTAAAAGGGTTCATTTCAGCTCATTGGGCTCATAATTGAAAAGCAAATGCATTCAGGTTCCAAATGTAAGGGCATACAGAACATTTCAACAGTTCACATGCCTATTTACAGAAAATGTTAATATTTGCTCAGTTATATTTACATAGACGTGTTAAGCTTAAAGACAAGAGCAAAGACGAGTCATTAGTCAAGATCTTTGTTCATAGACTTACATCTTAATCATTAGCTTTCCTTGTCAAACTAAACACCTTATATGCCATATCTTTAATCATGCTGCGACCAAATCTATCTGTAGAGGATTGTTTTTGCAGACAATGAAGTAATTAAGTAATTATGATTAAGTGTTAACGGTCTGGTTAAGTTTCCACGTATCTACAACAAAAACAGCTTCTTGTCCTCTGAATGGTCAAAGCAAAGTTATAATTAGTAATCCTATATCTAATTGTGCTATTCACAAAAAGGCAACCTGATAAGATCCATTATTTACTTGTGATAAAACTCGAGGGAAAGTTTATCCATTAGTTTAAAAGAAAAGTGTGTTTTGTCAGGTAGGGAATAGGGGATAGGGGATTTTAACAGTTCAGAAACGACAGCAGTAATGCAGCATTATTTGGCAGACGTTTCATTTTTAGTGTAGGGGGAATTATTATTATTATTATTATTTTAAAAACACGTTTTTTTTTCTGTCCGAAATTTTAGAAGAAAAGTCCATGTAGTCTTTTCTTCTGTCACAGAATATTTGACAATATAGCGAGTAAAAGTATCACCTCATATAGCCCTGTGCTTGCTTACAATGTCTGTGTATGTAGTCGGGCCAACGCCTACAGGGTGTTCAATTTCACTCTTTTACAAATTCTCCATGTCGTTTTCCCCCAAAACACACATTAAAAATTCTGAGAATTAAACCTGAAATATTAAAACATTTCTGAACTTATTTCCTAGAGGAACTGCTGTTGATCTAATCTCTGACATGGGTACAAAACTACCATCTGAGACAGACTTGTTTTTGTAGCTGACAGCTCCCTGCTGAGCTCCGTGTTTATTCCTGAACAAACATCATTATGCCTGTCCACAGAACTGTTGGAGCTTAGAGCAAAATCAAACACTAAACCGCCCAACGATATCACAAGACGGTTTTTATTCTAACAGGCGCCTGTGCTCGCACGACAGGTGGGAGATCCACCTGTACGGGCTTGAACATGACAGGTGAAACGAGCGGAGTTACGACCATGGGAAACTATGAGAAGATGTTATCACTTTCCCACTTGGCAGCGCTACTTAATCCTAAAAACAAATGTTGTCCTAAATGCTACACAAATGTCAAAACATGCAACAGTTGCAGGTCAGATGTGGACCACCGTTTGACCTCTGCCTTTTAAATCCGCGTGTACCAGTAACTCAGAAGAAAAGTGCAAAAAGAGTTTAAAAATCCCAAAGTAAAATTCAGAGTAAATATTTCAGGCTGAAAGAGTCAACATGCCCGGTGTGCAGGCTCAAAGAGGATAGTCAGGGCAACTTACTTGTCATGCTCCTGTGACATTTCGGTCGGTCGAACTGGACTTTCTAGTTGGTACTGAAAATCCGATCCTTCTTCTTTACTGAGGAAAACTCCACCGCTAACGCTGGATGAGGGCCGCGGCGACAAAACAAGTGTCCCCTACTGAGAGAACGGGTTTTGTCGGCTTTTCTCGCTTTTTTGGGGCAATGCTATGAAATCGAGGCCGGTTTTACCTGTGACAGGGCAGCGGATTGGATTACAGGTGGATAGGAGGGCGGGGCCACGCTGTCAATTACTCTTTCTGGAGTTGGGATTGGTTTAGCAGGGTTACCTGGAGCTGCAGAGGGACTTACGGTGAACCAGTGGAAGAACAGGGTTTAACATCTGTGATTTTATCATGTTGGGCTAACAATTGGGTTAAATATGGGATTTTTCTCCCAAACTATATAATTAACAAATAGAAAAATGGTTAAAAAAAATGGTTATTTAGATGGACTTTTAATGATGGACAAGTTTTAAATATATAATAAATAATGCTTTTATGCTTTGCCTTAATCACTTTAGAAATTTTCCTTTTTTAATATAACATGAGGAGCAACGGTGACTTTTTTGGCATGCTCAGTGCGTACTTGTAGCCTACTTCTTACAGAACAATACTTCAGTAGTTTACATGACTGATGCAGGCTGATTGTTTCCTCCAGGAGAGGACAAGAAACTTATTTGATGTGAGTCCTCAAGTTCCTGTGACACCAAAACTGACTTTTTCTAATGAATATAACAAAAAAGACGGATTGAATTTATCTTAAAGAAAAAGTCAGAGTCCCATAAACATTGCAACAAAAAAAAAATGTTTATTTGATTTTAAAGCTCCTCCTCATCATGTTGGAAATGTTCCAATGCTGTTTTTGGATAATAAACATGTTGATCACTAGAAACCAATTCATAGAGACACTATCTATTGAAAGATATTATCAGAATCTTTTCAGGAATATAAAAATCACCTGGTCATATTTTTTTGTTTTTGCAATCCTTAAGTAGTTTAAAGTATTAAAGCCTTCGATGTGTGCACTTAAATCCCGTGTGAATAAATAATTGTGACATCAGTTATCAAATGATGAAAGAAATAATCAAATGAAGAAATAAAACTCTTTTGATTTCCATTAGCTATGTGGTGTGCCCTATGGATCGGATTTGGATCCTTTTAATTTGATAGTTATATAGTATCTTATCAAGCAAAGCAAGTCAGGTTTTATCCATACTGCATGTTTATTACCATAAGTGTAAATGTATGAATGAACTAAACAAACATTTATAAGGATGTTTAAAAAGAAAGATAAATTCTCTAAATTTCAACTATTGAAGACACCAATTTTTCAATTATTATTATTTAAATAAAAGCCCACAATATATAAAATTGTATCCGTTGACCAATCATACAAATGTTTTTCTCGACCAACTTTTTTCAGTTTACCTTTGGGACTCATTTTTTACCGGATGATGACACCCAGAGAGTTGTTGACATTCTCCATGTTGACACATTACCATCAGCCTACACGGCTACAGGTGTGAAGGAGGCAAATTAGTCCCGAAACCTCCATAAAGCATCAGATGTGTGCAAATGAAATGATGGGGGTGGGGAGGGGGGGGGGGGGGGTTACTAGTCAAGAATCTACAGCATCCTTCAAAGAGCAAAATGAAACTGGAGAAAATACCTGTGAATAGTTTTGCATAAATTAGGGAAAGGGGATCCATGCAATCTATCCATCAATAACATTTTCCGCCTGCTTTAAATGTTTTTTAGGCCTATTATAATCCTATAAGAACTTTGAGCTGAATGTTTTTTTATGATAAAAGAATAACTGTATAAAAAACCTCAAGAGATCATCATGAAAAGAAACACTGAGGCTGGAAAACAAACAGATCAGTAAGAGACAAAGGGGATTTAAAAGATGCTATCAACCATATACAAAGTTTCTCCCTTCACACACAGAAAAACACACACACACACACACACACACACACACACACACACACACACACACACACACACACACACACACACACTGAGCCAGAAACTAACAGTAATACCCATCCCCCCTATCTCCCTGTCACAGACACACACACACACACACACACACACACACGCACACACACGCACACACACGCACACACACACACACACACACACACAACCTCCTGCTGCTGGATCCTGGTGTATTGTTTATTTATCCCAGTGGAAGGACACCTGCTTCTCCTGAAGCTTGTTTGTGTTTGCACTGAGGACATGGGATAATGCTGTATAGTGCTATATAGTGAGGGAAGGAATCAAGGATGTGTGCTTGGTGTAACTGTATGTGTGGGTTTGTGAGTCTTTGTGTCAGGGGAGGCTGGGAATATCTGCCACGGCTGCTGATGGTGGACCTGGCTAGATGCTGACTTGACAAAGAGCAGAAAGAAAAAAACATGGGAGGAAAAAAAAAAGCCAGCTATAGAGAGTGCACATCAAAGTGTGCAATCGAACCTGAGAAAAGTCCTGCTACTACGTCTTGGAAGAGGAAGATATAGGGGAGATATGAATAGAAAGTACATCAAAAACATTGTAAGAAATACTTCATTACTTGTACTTACAGATTCCACACAAGTAGAATTCAGAGGACTCTAAAAAAGGTACCCACTATGCATAAAATTTCCTTCGTGACTGATTAATCATTTTGTTAAATGCTTTAATGAACTTGTAGCACTTTGCTCTCACATTTAGTTTAAGCTAGTTTTATTAAACTGTGTACTCTGACCCCTCCAAAGGGCCACATGATTTATGTGAGGGGTCACCAGAAGATTAACATGACAGGGGGAAAAAAACGCGCAAGGCCTAAGACAGTTATTTGAACTGAACCATAAAGCAAGTAATGGAGCAGCTGTGGCTGGTAGAGTTGGTCGTCTCTCAACCGGAAGGTCGAGGGTTCGATCCCCAGCTCCTGCAGCAACATGTCCGGTGTGTCCTTGGGCTAGACACTTACTTATGGTCTCGCTGGCAGTGGCCAGTGTGTAGGTGTGACATGCGGTGTAAAAGCACTTGGAGTAGTCAGAAGACTAGAAAAGTGCTGTACAAGCTCAAGTCCACTTATCATTAATGGTTGAACATGTCTCTTTGGTCTAAGTGCAAACAACTCAACAAATAAGGTCGACAGATTTTCAGTAAGGGCTCAAAATAGTTTGAAAAACACAGCCATTCTCTTTATCTTGCATTGTATCCTAAAATCTCATATGTGTTTAAAATCTCTGTTGCTCACAATTTTTTTCTTTTTACCATTTCATGAACCGCTATGAGATTGGGTTGTATTTTACGACCTCCCTTGATTGTTTACAAGCTTAAGAATTAGCATTGATGATTAAAAAAAACAACTATTGATCAGTATTATTAGTATTTCCTGTTTCTAGACTTCAGGTCATTGCTCTTAAATTTCTCCCCAGTGGACCATGGATTAGTGAATATCTTTTAAAAGCAGCTCAAACGCTTCCCTGGATTACTTTTTTTTACAATGTGTGTTTTCTGTAAGTTCACATTTTTTTATACCTTGAGTTGTCTGTCCTAGAAAACCAGTGTCCATGATCAGTTACTTCCCTTGACTTTGTTACAAGCAAACCGAAGTAAAATCCTCTTAACCACACTTAAAAAGAGAAAGACCATGATTCAAAATTACGGGCTCCAACTGGGAATATGCACTAAGGTTTGAGAGAAGAAAAGGAAGACCATTTTTTGTAAGCTTTTTTTTTTGCTCTTACTGAAGTCATGCTCTCCAACATAAACCCACACCCAGGCGTGCTATTGTTCATTACCCTGAGGCAGAGAGGTAATCTCATGACTGATTTGAGTGACACAATCACATATTGAGAAATAGAAAAGTGTTGCATTAAACCAGAGACAAGTGAACATCTAAATAAATACACTTTCTGATAGGCACTCTGGACGCACATGGAGTCAATCCAAACAGTTTCCAACGGCTCAACCCCTCCAGGACGTTTTTGTGTAGATTTACTTAACGGGTCAAATATTCCCTTTCATCCCTCTTTTCCACCTCCCTCCTCCTGGAAGGAAGACAGTTAGTTTTTAACGCCACTCCAGGCATCAAACTGGGATGGAAATAAGATGCAAATCCATCCCAACTTTCCTAGCATGCGAGCACTTGCCTGAGCAGAGATTTAACCGTACTGAGGTCTGTTGGAGTCAAATTGGACCTCTGTCAGTTTTGGGGTTTGAAGTCTTGGAGCTCACAGTGAAGCTTGCTGTTGCTGGGTAAACAGGGGAAGAGTCTATATGAACAATGAGACAGTGTTGAAAGGTGTTTGAAGATCATTATCATGTTGTCGCTCACTGTCTCTCTGAATGTTAACAGGTGCTGTTGAGGTTGGAAACGATGTGAGCTGTGTAGGACTACGTCTAACATTCATTCAACTCTACATGGATGACAGATGAGTTTGATCCCCAAATATTACTTTATTGACATTGTGGGATCATCATCGCTCCTGTCTAACTGATAACTTGAGGTTTACATTTTGCTAGTACAGCTTCATCATTTGGGACTGGATTTCTTGGGCAAATTGCTGATTTAAGAGTTGAAATGAGTTGATTTCGGCATTTCAGGGTTGAGTTAAACAGTTGTGTTGTTTCCCTGTGTTTTGCTGAGGCCAGGGTTAGATGGTATCACACTGATGACAGTAAAAACAGTCACAGACTCTGAGGGCACGGCAGACCCGCATGCTGCTCTTCAACTCCTCAAACCTTTGTGCTAATGCATACATGCACGCACACACCGAACACACAGAAAGCAGGAAACAGGTCAGGACTTTTTCCAGGTGTTATGGGATCATGGGATCCTGGGATTCTTGATGAAGTGTTTTGTGTGTGTATGTTTTACTTCACAACACTGTTGATGTTTTAGCCCTGAGCTGTGGATATAACTGACCATTCATTCTGAATAAATGAACCATTGTTATAAACAAACAGAAGCAGAATGTAAATTTTCACCATTTGTATTGCTTAATACACTTATTATTTATTTATATGCCAATTAAAAGTACATTTCTCTTGGACAATCAGCAGCAGTCCTAAAGATATTTATAAGTACACCTGAAAACATGTGAGAAAACCTTGGTTAGCATTCGTTTTTTTTGTTTGTTCCGGTT